TACTCTGGGGGTGTCGGTGAGGATTGTTCTGGATGAGATTAACATTTGAATGGGTAGACTGAGGAAAGCACACCCTGTGTGGGTGGGACTCAGTCAGGGGGGATGGTGTAGAACAAAAATGCATAGGAAAAGAAAACTGTGCCTGACTGCCTTTGAGCTGGATGGTCTTTCCTGCCTTGGACTCTGACTGAACAGTCAGCTTTCCTGAGGCCTCAAGACAGCATTGGGACTGGATAGTGCCCTCAGCTCTCCTTGACCTCCATCTTGCTGGCTGCAGATCTTAGGTCTCCTCAACTTCCATAATCACATGAGCCAATTCTTCACAATAAATCTCTCTCTCTCCATATACACATACACATATCCTACTGGTTCTGTTTGCTTGAAAAGCCCTGATGAAAACAGTGTCAGAGTAATTCATGACCACTGGTATCAACTTTCTCATAAAACAAAGTCAAGGTCATTTGGTGAGCATAAGGCAGGGAAGGAAGAGAAAGTGAATTTGAATAAGGCAGAAAATTTTTCAAAGAATAAAAATTACCTAGTTACTGAATTAGGCCTGTTTTCTTATGGTTATTTCTCCAGAAAAAAAGTAATTTTTTAATAAATTGTGAAATTATCTGTTTAATATGTCTCTTCTGCAGGATTGTAAATTAAAGGTGTACGGCCTGTGTCTTCTAGGTAGGGATGGAGTATGGTTTGTGGTTTGGACCTAACTGGGTGGGTGCTTATTCCAGCTTTGCCACTTTCTAACTGAATGACCTTGAGAAAATTATTCACCCTCTTTGCCCCTCATTTTCCTCACCTATGTCTACCTCATAAGATGTTTCCAGGGCATTAAGATAACTGGCAATAATAAGAAGGCTGTGATGTGGTCCATCGTGATGGCTGGCCGCCATCTATCTGAGCACACAGCACTGTGGAATATGGTAGTCTCCATGCATGAATTAGTGGATGGAGGAAGACCATCACAGCTCAGCCCTCTGCTCAACTTCTGCCAAATCATTCAGCATTTCCACCCTCGGCTCACTCTTCCCTGATATTGGGGGAAGAGCCTCACAGCTATTTTTTGGAATTCCTTTCCACTGGGGTGGTGTGTTTGACTTTGCCACTAAAAGGTTTGCCCAAGTTTTGAAAGGGAAAGAGAAAGGAAAATAATTATTTCTTTTGGGGCAGCTGTGAGAGGTGCATTGATTTTGAGAGACGACACATGGAGCATTGGTGAAGGTACAACTGGGCATCCTAAGAAACACACACTTTGCTGCACCATGAAGCAGAGCTCACCAGCAGTGGCTTAGATGTCTGATTTCTGCACTATGGACTTTGAAGTAGCAGCAATTTCCCTACCTTCAATTTTGGCTTTTCCAACATTTGTGGAAGTTCCTATACTTCCACAAAGCCACCCAATGAGTATTGACATGTAAGCCTCTAGACTTAAAAGGACTAGAAGCCATTGTTTTAGGGGCAAAACCCAATTGTTATGGGCTGAATTGTATCCCCTCAAAAATTCATATGTTGAAGTTTACCATCCACTCTCTTGGAATATGATTGTATTCACAGATGATGTCTTCAAAGAGGTGATAAGTTAAAAGAAGGCCATGAAGATAGGCCCTAATCCAATCTGACTGGTAGCCTTATAAGAAATGGAAATATACCATGATGCACAAACACAGAGTAAAAACCATGTGAGGACACAGGGACGGGGGGAAGTGGCCATCCAATGCCTCAGAAGAAACCATCCCTACAACTCCTTGACCTCAGACTGCTAGCAATTTATATTGCTTAAGCCCTGCAGACTGTGGTATCTGTGATGGCTGCCTTAGGAAACTGAAACACTAATCTAAACACTAACTGGATTGTTAGAAGTATAGCCTCACCAGTGGTCTATGGTCTGTCTGTTTGGGATGGCTGGTTGTCTAAGCTTTCACATTTTTTGAGAGTCACTGGAAAAATTTACATTAAGTTCTTCTTATCTAGAAGTTGCAATTCTGTGGGTGCTCTGTAAATTCTCTATCATGTCCTAGATGAGGCTGGGGTCTGATCAACACCCAGGGTAGATCATGTGGTGTTGACATTGTGCTCCAGTGGTTTTTGTACTTCTGTGAGGACAGTGTTGTATATTTGTCCACCTCCAGCCAGCCTGGCCCACAGCTCTTCATGGTGGCCTGCTAGGCCTGATGCTTATAGTCTTTATCCAATTCTGTAGTCGTAAGAAAAAGAAAATGCAAAACCCAAAGACAGAGTGTGGGGGATGTTTCAAGAAGTAATGGAAACCAGAACTGAGTTGTAAAGATCAATTGAGAAAGGATCTCAAGAGTCCTGCACAATGAGAAAAGAAGAAATAAACTGCCTTGAGAACACCCCTGTGAATTCCTAACAGGATGTGGTTAACTAAAATTTCTAACTTAGAGGAGTAAGTTAGGGTCTTTAGCATCTACTATGAGATGACTCCTTCTCAAAGAGGTGGTGGGTCACAAATGTGGGTCCATAACAAATGGATGCAAAGGACACATCAGCCACTGAGGCACTTCTAGATTAAGGGGATGACAGATGGGTCAGGGCCCTTCCCTATGTCTGCACAGTGAATCCCATCTAAGGCCACTATTATCTCTATTTACAAGAAACTTGTCTTCTAGGGAATGAAACTCCACAACGAGTATTAACCCAATGAGTATTGACCGACAGCAGATGGATTCCAAGCCAGATCTTATTCTAAAACCACATATTTAACCATTTTGTCACATTACCTCATCGGTACATTTCAAGCACTTACCAACTGAACATTACCAGTGAGTGAATCTGTTGAATCACTGTAAGCACTACTGTCTGATATCTGCGTCCCACGAATAACAACTCTACACAAAGTGAATTCTCATGAACCATTGGCTCCATCATGAGGAGTTAATTTAAAGCAAGAGAGTTCTTTTATTTCCCTCAGAAAGTCTGAATATAACTAAACGGCAATATTTCAATTGGTGTGCAGGAATTAGGAAAGAAATTTTTATTTTCTTCCTCAGATATGTAAAAGATTTTCTTCAATGTTCTATTATAACATTGAGATGAAGTTGTACTACATATTTGTTTGTGTTGTTTATTCTAAGATTGTAGGTCAAGCTTCAACTAGATAAGATACAGAAATCACACCACACTTAAAAGGAGAATGCAGTTTTTAAGCAGAAATGGCAAATGCAGATAAAGACATTCAGTTTCTTCCCTTTAGACCTAACAAAAGCAAGAAGATCATCTTTATTACATTATTCAACAAAACCTAGTAGTGATTTTCATTCTCATTAAGTATAGGGCTAGCTTCTCTTTCTCTGGTTAATTCTTACACCTGCCTACTTACCCACACCCAGACCTTCCATGTTGACATATGTAAATTGGATGACTCCACAAGCAGCCTAATTTTATTTATTTATTTTTTATTTTATTTTATTCACATGTGCATACAATGTTTGGGTCATTTCTCCCCCTTCCCCCAACCCCCTCCTTTACCCACCCAACCCCTCGCTACCAGGCAGAAACTATTTTGCCCTTATCTCTAATTTTGTTGTAGAGAGAGTATAAGCAGTACTAGGACGGACCAAGGGTTTTTGCTAGTTGAGATAAGGATAGCTATACAGGGAGTTGACTCACATTGATTTTCCTGTGTGTGTGTGTTACCTTCTAGGTTAATTCTTCTTGAACTAATTTTTTCTCTAGTTCCTGGTCCCCTTCTCCTATTGGCCTCAGTCGCTTTAAGGTATCTGCATTAGTTTCTCTGTGTTGAGGGCAACAAATGCTATCTAGTTTTTTGGGTGTCTTACCTATCCTCACCCCTCCCTTGTGTGCTCTCGCTTTTATCATGTGCTCAAAGTCCAATCTCCTTGTTGTGTTTGCCCTTGATCTAATGTCCGCATAAGAGGGAGAACATACAATTTTTGGTCTTTTGGGCCAGGCTAACCTCACTCAGAATGATGCTCTCCAGTTCCATCCATTTACCAGCGAATGATAACATTTCATTCTTCCTCATGGCAAGCAGCCTAATTTTAAATTCAAGTCTGTGTGTATGTGTCTTTTTATGACTAATGCAAGTTGTTTATGAGTCATCCATGATATTCCCTCAGTCTGGAAGATTCCCTCCCCCTACTTTTAAATATATTTCTGGAAAAGGGCATGTGAATCACTGAGGTTCATTTTTTAAAATGGGCTTTACACAGAAAATAATTAAACATGAGAGGATTGTGCAGTGTCTGTTTGATCTCTTTCATTCTTCCCAAGCAATGCAAGCCCAGAGTTCCCAGGAGCAGACAGCACAGCACATTAAACAAATGACAGGTAGTGTGGTGGTCACATGGGCGTCCCTACTTTTGAAAGTCTGTCTTTATTTTTAAACTTTGACTCTGTTTTCTTTGAAAAGTGGGAAGCACACTTGGCATTTTAATTTCAGATGAACTTGCTAATTGAGCAAGCAGATGAAACAGGTCCCGTTAGCATTTTATTTAAAACTGATGTCAATCTTGAATTTACCTGCTTTTCCTTACATTAATATATTCATTTAATTTCCAATTCTCTGGCTCTAAAGGAGAAATAAAACTCAAGAATGCTGTTTCAAAACTCAGGTATTTCATGACAGCATAGTCTTAGGGAAAAGAGCCAAAAACAAAACAAACAAACAAAAAAAAACGGTCCCACCCTGTGACCTGGCTGTGCCAGCGACCCAATTATCTATTTCCCATCTCCCCCAAGTTCTCACATCCTATTTTTCATTTATAATGATTCCCCAAACTAAAACCACATCCTTGATGCCCCCTGATATGTACCACTAACAATAAAAGTTCCTTGAGGGCCAAGACAGATTTTCTGTTTATCCCAGTGCTGGGTCCACGGTTACTAAATAAAAATAAATAAAGAAAAGAAAAATTTTGTCTTTCTGTTGGCTTCAAATCTATCTCATCTCTTTAATAATTTCTTGTTCTCTTGAGATCAGAGATTTACGATAAAGAAGAACCAATCGCTGTTACCACATTTAACACTTGTACATTTTATTTAATTAAATCAGCCATTGTACGACATTGCAGCTATGTATTGTTAGTGTTGTATTTTTTTTCCATTAACTAATACATGCCCTCATAGATATATTCAATTAGTGTTATCACCATGGGAACAAGATGCTGATTCATCAACTGAAAATTCACTTCTTCTCACAGTATTCAAGTTTTTTGATAACACAGCAAAAACCAAAATCCAAAAAATAAAAAGGTGAAATAACCATTATGTTGCTACACAGACATCATCTGCACTGCAAATAACACAACAGAAATGCTTTTCTTAGCTCCAGTGAACGTTTGGATGAGAAGGCCATCGTGCGTCTCAAAAAGCTTCACCACAGGCCTCTCTCCTTTTGGCTGCCAAAAAATGCTGTATTTCCTATCCAACTGCCAAAAAGTGCTAGCGTTTGAAGCTTAGAGACTTGGCTCATGGGAAACCTCCCTCCCAGGAAATTTTCTCTCTTGGCAACATTACTTTAAGTGATGAAGTGTCATTGTTTGTCACATTTGTTTTTGCCATTCGGAGCAATGAGTCATTTTTGCACAACAGGAAAAGACCAGATAGAATTGGAAAAAGTTCAATCCCTGGAGGATAGACTCTGTATTTTTTTTTAATTCCATCTTCATTGAATATATTTTTCTTTAACAAATAACTGATTCAAAATGTATACTGTTTATATGAATATATTTGTGACTATATATATGTTAAAATGCTACACAGCTTCCACCACCAGATGAATAAGAAATAGAATGCGAAATCGTTCAGATTGTTACAGTCCCTTCTTGAAACAAACAAACAGAAAGTGCACAAATGCACTTAGGAGTTTCCAAGGGAGTTTGGATTTCCAATAAATAAACCAATAATTTTAACCAAAACCAAATTTTCAAAGGATTTCTCAATCTTGTCTGCAAGCTGAAAAACAGACTTAGCTAGAAAGTAAAAAGTGTTCACTCTGGGTGAAAAAAATGAAAACCATTAATGTGATTAGAAGAGGGGTTTTGACTGTGATTTTGACTTTTAAGTACCACATGCAGGTATTAAAGAAGATATAAACCTAGAGACAAAAAAAGAAAAAAGAAACCACTCCAACATCTCGAAGGAGTTTAACCTTTTGTGTAGTGGGTAAATCTTATTTCCAATGAATTATCTACAGTACAGTGGCCAGAAGAAAGTACCACCAGTAAGACAGCGTGGTTTGCTAAAGCAGCAGTGAAAACTGGAAAACTACAGTAGATATAGCTTTTAAAATACCCTGCCAACATGTCCAAAATCTAAAAGACCTGAAGATGCTAGAAGGCCACAGGATATGGCTTCTAGCAACAGAATACCTCATTGTTCAATCTCTTTGCCTCTGCTCCCTTCATCCTCTCCCTCAGTGGCTGTTGGAGAGTCATAAATTATGGCAGCACCAGCAATCACTTCTTAGTGAGGATAGTTCTTCAAGATTGTTAACCCATCTTTGATTAGGAGCAATGGCTACTCTGGAAGTTCTAAGGACATCATAGGTCTGAAGTGCTTCATTTGCAGGAGAACTGTGTTAATATCCGATTGTGTTAGCAATAGCCTAATTAACCATTGTTGAGCAATTTCTAGAGGCCTTTTATTTCATGACGCCCAGTGTCGTTATGACAGGCAGTGGTTCTTAATTTTAATGTGCTGTTTATCTGAGCGTTTCAGCTATATACATTGTACACAGATATCCCTTGGGAGGATTCCTCTGTATGTCACATGAAGAGGTCTGCAGGTGAAGTTCTTCTGAGCAATGAATTTTCATGGAACTTACGCAGAAGCAAAGAACAATGGAGGTGACCACTTCCCAGGTTAGCACAGACACAAAGTAGTGGATACAGCATCCCAAATGAAGGATGCTATCTTTGGTCACAAATTAGCTTATAGTTAAAGAGGATTGGGGAAAAACTAAAATAAAAAGCTGTATATTTGCTAACAGTGGAAATGTCAAGGGAATCCCACTAATTAGGCCAGTTAGGTCATTCCTCTAAGGACATGGAAAGTTGCATATTGAGTGAATGTGTGGTTGGTTTCTGGTGTGAGAACTGGGCAGCCCCTCATTTGGCCTCTTGCTTCTAGTCCTCCTTGCAGAAATGCCGAAGGAGCTGCTGGAGATCACGCTGGAGGTCGTCCTGGTCTAGTGCTTCTGGTACATCCTCCAGGTGCTCCAAGTCAGTGCATTTCCCATGCTGGTCCTTCACTACAGCCCTCTTCTGTGTACTGGCTTTACTCATTGTTGTCCTGGAAAAAAAAAAAAGGCAGAAGAGAATTAGGCTCTTTCTTCACTGTGAAAAAGGGAGCTGCTAGATTAGAGGGCAGTCATGACATGAAAGTACTTCCTGCCTTATTTCTAGATAATTCCACACCAAGCAATTAGTATACGTATATATATCTTTTCATTCCTTTCTTTTAAACAAAGATCCCCTCTCTAAAACAACTCATAAGACTTTAAAAAGTGTGTTTTCAGGAACAGTTTTTAAATCTTTAAGAAATACTTCAAATAAATGAAAACATGTTTTAATATGATTCTCTCAAAAAGAAATTATAACCTTTGTTTATATTTTGACTAAGTTGCATTGATCTAAAGGAGCCTGGTTCATCCTGAAATAATGATTCCACAAGCACCTTTTGACTGGCTGAGAAAAAATTTTTAATTTAACTTATTAAAAACACATTAGCTATGTAAGTAAATGTAAAAACGATAAAATTTTTTTAAAAATTTTAAAAACCAGTTAGCTAACAGTTTAATCCTAAGAGTCACATCCCAACCCAATTTCCCCAAATTATGCTCGAATAGAATGTTTCCCTGTTTAAAAACTAAAATATTTTTATATCAATATAAAAAAAAGTGAATAATAACAAGAGGCCTCCACAATTTCTGTGGAGACGAGGAGGGAGGGAAGAGAAGACGACTACTGAGAGAAATACACTTCTGTATTTTTAGGACTCCACTTACTTTGGTTCTTCAGTACACCGAGCTGTCATTCAGTAATCTAATGCTTTTTTGTTACTCAGACTGTGTTTACTTGAGAAAAGAGACCATTATATTGCATACTACTATTTTCTTGCAGCTCTACTTGAATATGGTTGTATTACAATTTGTTCACTCTCTGTTCATTATCTATTTGTAAAATACAAATTTTCATTCCACAAATACGTGATGAGTGTGTCCTGTGTTAGGTACAGTCACCATAACAAATAATGGGAAGTCAGTCTTAGATAATTTAAGTAACATCCCCTAATTTTTCTTTAAAAAAGCAGTTTAGCATCCTGTGGAACCAAGAGTCCAGGATTCCCAAGCCTACGTCCATAACCATTGAGCAGAGCATCTTCACTTAAAACCAGCAGAGGGAAGGACAAGTGCTAAGTGGCCTGAGCCAGCACTCTGCTTATGTATTTGTAATGTCTAGGAGGTAGAAGTTCTGTCCATCTCCCAATTCCTCTACACATTCATTAAGATCATTATGATTGTACTTTTGGGTTTCTTTTGGACATCCTTGTTTCTTTCTCCCTTGTTCTCTCTCATTCGCTTACTTTCTCCTTTACTGACTTGAATTATTTTGCATTTGAAGGCAAAACTTAAATTCGTTCCTCTTGATGAAGTGGTCAAAGTTGATTGCAATGGTTGAAATCTGATTGTGCTTTTCTTAACTATTCAGCATCATTACTTTTTTTCTACAAAACATATCTATTTCTGACAAGAGTTAGGAGAAGGAATGTCACAGGATGGGCCTCTTTCACAGGACATTTTCCTGTATTTTCTGCATGTGTATGCAGATGGACACACTTATGAATATACACACATATATGATCGAATGCCTACAGCAATTGGTAAGATTAAGTGATACTCACCACAAATAGAGCTCCATGAATGACTAGCTGTGGGAATTCAGACTACCTAAATCATTGGCTTTGAATTGAACAGCTATAATGTAGAACTTCAAATTGACCTCCAAATCTACTCCAATTTAAAGATCCTGTGACACTAGAGTAAATGGGGGGGGGGGGATGTGTGCATAGTGTCATCTGAATAACTGGATAAAAACTAAAATGTTCAGAATATAAAAAGCATTTTGTCTTAATTCATGTAGCATTTTTAAAGTCCTAAGACAGCAATTACACTCTTTTAAATTCCTTGCTGCTGCTGTTTTTCACATTTGATTGGAGGGTGGAATTGTGACAAAACCTTTAATTTTGCTGTTCTAATTATTATGTTCTAGAAGCTTAAAATAACCTTGCAGAGTACTATAAATGATCATTTTTCTTTTCTTTTCAGTGAAATGAAAAGCACCAGAGTAACTTAGTTTCCATTGTGTCTTTTTCCCTGAGAAGCTGAGAACATTTTATTAATCCTGATACTTACAGTGTTGCTAGAGGATCAAAGAGAAGTGAAAGAAACCACAGGAAGGGGGCCCAAGTTTATGCATCAAATCTGTGACAGAAACAGGGCAGCCCAGAATGCCTTGCAGCCAGCACACTTCTACATGCACAGAAAGTACAACTTATCATTTTTCTACACTTGCTTAGCTTACTAAAGCCCCTGGTTTCAGCACTGCTGTATACATTCAGGTTCCTGGTGTCAAAGGCATGCTTATGTTATTTGCCACTCTCATGCAGAGTCATGAAACAGTGTGTAAAAATTAAAAGCATGTGCCCTTCTAAATAATGACTGGCTAGGACTTAGCTGAATTTATCCGACCACAAAATTAATTTGTGATCAATTTATTTGATTCCCTTTCCTCTGCCCTCCAAATCTCTCAACACAGTGGGAGTCCCCAGTTGCTTGGCTTCAAATATACTGGTGACTTGCTAAACCCCAGGAAGTCAGATTGTGTAAGCACATGTGTCACTGTCTCTGCGCCACACTAGACTCTCCAGGAGCGACAAAACAACAGATCCACCACCTAACCAAAGCTTTACAATACACAACAATCCATAGCAACCAAGGAGTTTTAAGGTTATGTCCCAGCTCTGCCCTTCTTTTCTTAAAATTGGAAAAAAATATTTAATAGTGTTAGTTAGTAAAACATCACCCCATGCTAACCCAAACCTTTTAATTATTGATCCATCCTCTTTCAGGATTTCATTCTCTACTAAACTGGGGACGTGGACCTTCATAGGGCTACCTGTATAACTCAAAGCCTGAGGTAAGAAAAAAAGGAAAACAAGACACAGCTCGTCATAAACCACAGACTTTAAAACAATCCACAGCTTCGCTAATTCATTGTCAGTGTGAAAAGATATATTTGAATGGATAAATGAAAATAACGTCTAGGAGCTAATGTAAGTATTGAATTTTATTTAGCAAGTCCCTTAAAATTCCTCCCACTTGTGAGGGAAATTTTTTATATTACTTTAGAAAATCTGCTAACTAACATCCATGCTGACTGACTT